CAAGCGACTCAACAGCACATAACAACAACAACAACACATCTGGAAGTTCGATAATTAATAAGGATGACAGAATGGAGAATCCATGCCTTTGAGTTGTGGTTTTGGAAAAGAGCACTGGCTATCCCATGAACTGCCAAAAGAACGGATATGTCTTGGAGAAGATGCAGCCTGGGTGCTCCCTGAAAACAAAAATTGTGAAACTTCATCTCACAAACTTTGGGCATGTTGTTAGGAGGAACAAGTCTTCAGAAAAGGACCTCATGCTTGGAAAGGTGGAGAATCAGTAAAAGAGAGGAAAACTCTCAACAAGATTGATTAACAGAACAAAAGCAGGCTTGAATGTGTCAGAGGTGATGAAGGCAGCACAGGATAAGTGAGGGTTTAGATACTATGCTCATAAGATTACTACAAATCCTAGTCAACTCGATAGCACTTAACAATAATATGTGTGTGTGTGAAAGAGGATAACGAACAAAGAGGGCCAAAGAGGAATTGACACCGTTGAGTAATATGCTGTTAAATAATATTGAACATCTCATAGGTTGTGCAGAAATTATCGAACAATAACATTAATACTACATGCAAGCAAGATTCTGCTGAAAATTATCCAAAAACGACTGGAGGAACACATCAACAGAGAACTTACAGATGTGCAGGCTGAGTTTCGAAGAGTTCGTGGGACTAGGGATATTACAGCTAATGTTAGATGGATCTTGGCAGAAATCAAAGAGTACCAGAGGAATGTCTATCTGTGCTTTATTGACTATGCAAAGGCTTTTGTCTGTGTGGATCACAACAAGCTGTGGCTGACTCTGAGAAGAATGGGAACCCCAGAATATTTGATTGTGCTTATGTGAAACCTATACTTGGACCAAGTGGCAGAACAGAGCAGGGAGACACTGCATGGTTCAAAACTGGGAAGGACATCCACCAGATATGTAGTCTGTCTCCATACCTTTTCAATCTGTATGCAGAACAGATCATCTGGGATGCTGGGCTGTACGAGGAGTAATGTGGCATCAGGATTGGTGGAAGATTCATCAACAACCTGCATTATGCAGACGACACAACCCTGCTTGCTGAAACTGAGGAGGATCTGAAGTGCTTGCTGCAGAAGGTCAAGGACTGCAGCCTTCAACATGGATTGAAGCTTACCATCAAGAAAACAAAGATTCTCAACACTGGGCCAATTGGCAGCATCAGTATGGACAGTGAAGAGATTGAGATAGTTAACAGCTTTAGCTTCCTTGGCTCCACAGTCAACACTGTGCCATCCAGTAGTCAGGAAATCAAGAGACAAATTGCACTGGGAAAGTCAGCTGTCAGGGACCTCTCCAGAGCACTAAAGAGAAATGATATCAGGCTGGAAACTAAGGTGCATCTGGTCTGGGCTACAGTCTTCACAATTGCGTGCTATGCATCAGAGAGCTGGACAGTGACCAGGGATGACAGAAAGAGAATTGATGCGTTAGAGCTGTGGTGCTGGAGAAGAGTGTTGAATATACGAAAACAAACAGGTTTTTCCTGAAGAGGGTGAAGTCAGGCTGCTCCTTGGAAGAAAGGATCCTGAAGCTTTGTCTGACATACTTTGGGCATGGTGCAAGGAGAGACCAGTCCTTGGAGAGGGATGTCATGTTTGGGAGAGTGGAGGGAAGGAGAAAGAGAGGAAGACCCTTGATGAGATGGATCAATTCAGTGATTAGAGTAGTGGGAGTAGGTGTGTTGGAGACAATGAGGTTGGCATAGGATAGAGCAAGCTCTTGTACATAGGGTCGCTATGAATCACAAGCAACTCGATGGCACATAACAATACATAACATCACAGATTACCAACAAGCAAATTTGTCTTGGAGGAGGTGAAGCCAAGATGCCCCTTAGACTTGATGGCAAGACGTATACCACATATTTTAGGTATGCTTTCAGGAGGGACTGTCCCTTGAGAAATACACCATGTTTGCTGGAGGGAGACCTTCAAGGGGATGACAGCTGGGCTCAAAAACAGCTATCACCATGCACGGGAGCAAGAAGCATTGTGTTCTGTTGGGCACACTCAATGGCACTCAAAAAAAAAAAAGAGTGAATTCCATCTGAAACAAACAGTGCCTGCACGCCAGGAGCCCCATGGACATCTGTTCTCAGAGAGGACCCAGTGTGATCCCACAGGACTCCTTTGCCAGAGAGTGGCTAGCAGGCACTGGGTGGCAGAGATGCCACTTACCATACTCAGAGTCCTTGAAACAGGCATCCAGGTGGTCCTGCTCCTCGTATTCGTCTAGGTCCATACTGTTCTTTGTGGCCCTCTTCAAAAGCCGCTTCCCTGAACTTTTGCTGCTGCTCCCATTCTTCCGGGCGCTATGGGCTGCCAAGGAGTTGCCCTTGGCTTGGCCAGCACCCCAGGTTGGCTGCAGGCAGGAGTCAGAGGCCTGTAGGTTGGCCATGGACAGCATCCCCTGGATTGCCTCTTGTGTGCTTGGCGAGGCTGGGGGCTGGCTGCGGGCACAGACAGATAGGTCCACATGAGGTAAGGGGCATGATGCTGATAAGGGCCCACAGGATGGCCAGGCCACTTCACTTCCCACTGGGCTCAGGTCATAAAGGTGCTGGTCTCAGGTGAGGCAGGCTAGAGGCTGATTCAGAGAAGGGTATGGGATGGAGAAACACAAGAGGATTCTACCTTGGAGCTCCCACAATGCTCCCCATGAAACAAAACCATACCAAACCTCCCTGGGAAAGTAGGCCTCCCACTGTCCACAGCATTCCATGGAGAGCCTACCACCATGTCTACCCCAGCCCAGGCTGCAACTGCCATGGAGCACCTTGACAACTATTACCAATGTGACTGCGGCTGCCATGAGGAAGTACTTTCAGCAGAAACAGACTGCCCAGGTCTATAACCCCATTCTGGTAAAAGCAGAGCATCTCCCTAGTGGCTCAGGCATCCCTCTGCCCTCCACCTCCCCCAATCCCCCTATCTCCTGGGTCTGTTCAGCCCAAGGAAAGAGGGACTCCCAGAAGTGCTGAGGTTGATGGTAAAGATTTCACAAGGATCCCAGAGCTAGGGAGGGTGTGCTCACTCCATGGCCCCGCAGTAGCAGCAGCAGCAACAACAATCCAGCCCTCTGAAGGGCAGGACCTCTGAGAGAGGTCCACAGGAAGTAAAACTTCAATCCTTCAATTAGCATTGCAAATTTGCACCTCCCCTACAGCAGTAAACTCAAAACAAGAGTTTTAAAAATTAACCTGATTCCCTTGTGCTCCTCAGATGTTTTTCCAACCATTGAGTCCCTGCACAGTATAAACAGACCATCAAAAACCAAGAGGCCTCCTCAGGGCAGCAGGCAGCATATGGGGGTCACATCAATGTCTGCAGAGCTGCACTAAGCAGCCACTGGAGCGCCTTACCTCCCTACCCCCACCCTTCACCATTTGTAGGCTGCGCACATTCCCTGTGGGACAAAGCTGGACAAAGCATTAGGCTCTCTGCCCTTCCAGAATTCCAGGGGCCACCTGGCTAGCCCTCCTGCTTGTTTCTCATCATGCTTGGGCCTTAGGTCTATCTGGTCTCTTCTGACCTTCTTCATAGACCTCACAGGGGCCCATGGTTTCTGGAGACCCCCACCCTCACCCCAGCCCTAGGCCTGAATCATGTACGGAGCTCACAACCAGTCATACAAGGTGTCAGCTCTACCTAGAACACTGGCACTCCTCACAAAAGTGTTCTAGCTGCAAGGAGGAACCCTAGTACCAGCAAAGCCCCCTGTACAAACAGTGGACAGGGAGGGTCCTGAAGGAAAAGGGAAGCATGGTTCATGTATTTCCCAAAAGCCTGGTCTAGTCTGTGCTACACCTTTGTCCCAAAGTCTAAGGCAGATCTGGACCTCGGAGAAAGCCTGAAGAGATCCTGCCCTAAACAGCTGAACCCAGAGCACAGCAAAAACCTAAAGTCACATCTCTTCCTATGACAAGAGTACTCCAGCTGTCTGTGAATGCAATGCCACATACAAAATAGTTCTTTATGACAGGAAATATCATAATTGGATTCAAAAAAGGCTCTTTCCAATCAAGCCCTTAATCCCTCTCATTAGAGTCATATTTATCCCAAGAATGGGGCTGCTTCCAGGCACCTACTACCCATCACTCTCACAACAACAATACTCCTCAGACACTCTCAACCCCCATCTCTCACTGGAGCAGTTGATCTTCATCCTGGACCACAGGGAGTATAACCAGTGCTTTGCTTTTAGAAACTACAGAGCCTTAAAAATGAAACCAGCTCTCATCAGAGGTTGAAGACAGCTTGGCCAACATACAGGACTACCCCTACCATGACAGACAGACAGACAGTTGGGCCTCTGCAAACCTCCCAGCTCTATTTACATTGTCTGCAATCAAGACTCATTAATAATAAGTGACAGGAATGCAAAAGGTGGAGGCAAAGAACAAGTAGTCAGAAATTATAGATTTGGTAAAAGAAAAACTGGATTTTGTACAATCATTTTATTCATTGCAAATATCTACTTTAAAAAATACAAAAGGCTCTACAACCAAGAGAAGATAAAATAGATGAATGGGACCTTCTAAGAATCAAATCCCTATGCACATCCAAAAACTTCTCCAACAGGGTAAAAAGGGAAGCCACTGACTGGGAAAAAGTATTTGGGAATGACATGTCAGATAAGAGACTTATATCGAGAATTTAT